AGCAAGACCCAAGAAAATCACCTTCACTGAAGGGAAGACAGGAAGGAAACAAGACCACAAAATAACCAGAAAACAAATAACAAAACGCCAGGAGTAAGTCCTTACTTACCAATAAAGACACTGACTATAAGTGGACTAACCTCTCGAATCAAAAGACACTGAGTTGCTGAATGGATACAAAAAAGACAAGACCCAGTGATCTGTTGCCTAAGAGAAATACACTTCACCTATAAATATACACATAGACTGAAAGCAATGGGATGGAAAAAAATATTCCATACCAATGGAAACCAAAAGAGCAGGAGTAGCCATACTTTTATCAGAAAAAATAGATTTATAGTCAAAAACTATAAGAGAGACAAAACTGGTCACTATATTATGATAAAAGGGGTCAATTCAGAAAAAATAAAACCCACAATTTTAAATACATATGCACCCAACACTGACACACCCAGATTTATAAAGCAAATACTATTAGAGTATACTAAAGACAGAGATGAGCCCCAATACACTAATAGCTAGAGGCAGCCAGGTGCAGTGGCTCACGCCTATAATCCTAGCACTTTGGGAGGCCAAGGCAGGCGGATTGTCTGAGCTCAGGAGTTCGAGACCAGCCTGGGCAACATAGTGAAACCACATCTCTACTAAAAAACAAACAAAAAAAGAAAGCTAGAGGCTTCATCACCACACTTTCAGCATCAGATAGAACAGATTGTCCAGATGGAAAAATCAACAAAGCAACAAAGCAACACTGGACAATCTACACTATAGTCCAGATAGACCTAATAGACATTTACAGAACAGTTCATCCAATGGCTGCAGAATACACACTTTTTTCCTCAGCACATGGATGATTCTCAAGGGAAGACATTAGGTCACAAAACAAGTCTTAAAACATTCAAAAAAGTAAAATAATATCAAGCATCTTCTCTGACCAAAGTGGAATAAAACTCATAATCAATAACAAGAGGAATTTTGGAAACTGTACAAATACATGGAAATGTATGTATTTGTATGTATGCTCCTGAATGACCAGTGGGTCAATGAAGAAATCAAAAAGAAAATTGAAACCTCTATTGAAACAAATGATAATGGAAACACAAGAAGCAAAACCTATGGAATATAGCAAAAGTAGTACTAAGAGGGAAGTTTATGGCCATAAGTGCCGATATCAAAAAATAAGAAAAACTTCAAATAAACAACCAAAAAATGCATCTTAAAGAACTAGAAAAGCAAGAGCAAACCAAACCCTAAATAAGTGAAAGAAAAAATAAATAAAGATCAGAGCAGAAATAAATAAAATTGAAATAAACAAGATAGTTTTTTAAAAAGTTAAGCAAAATTAACAAACTTTTGGCCAGACTAGGAAAAAAAGAGAGAAGATCCAAATAAATAAAGTCAGAGATGAAGATGGAGACATTACAAATGATACCACAGGAATTCAAATGATCATTAATTGCTACTATGAGCAACCATATACCAATAAATTGGAAAATCTAGAAGAAATAGACAAATTCCTAGAAAAATACAACCTACCAAGATTAGACCATAAGAAATTCAAAACCTGAACAAACCAGTATCAAGTAATGAGATTGAAGCTGTATTAAAAATTCTCCCAGTAAAGAAAAGTCCAGAAACTGATGGCTTCACTGCTGAATTCTACCAAATATTTAAAAAATGAATACCAATACTAATCTAACTACTCCAAAAAACAGAAAAGGGAATACTTCCAAACTTATTCTATAAGTCCAGTATTACCCTTATATCAAAAATAGACAAATACACATTAAAAAAAGAAAATCACAGATCAGTATTTTTGATGAATATTGATGCAAAAATCCTCAACAAAATACTAGCAAACCAAATTCAACAGTACATTAGAAAGATTATTCATCATGATCAGGTGGGATTTATCCCTGGGATGCAAGGATGGTTCAATATATACAAATTAATCAATGTGACACACCATATCAATAGAATGAAAGACAAAAACCATATGATCACTTCAATTGATGGTGAAAAAGCAGTTGATAAAATTCAACACTCCTTTATAATACACCCTTAAAAAACTGGATATAGAATATACATTAGCATCAGTAAAACCATATATGACAGACTCACAGCTAGTATCATACTGAATGTGGAAAAACTGAAAGCCTTTTGTATAAGATCTGGAAGATGAAAAGGATGGCCACTTTTACCACTGTTACTCCACATAGTACTGGAAGTCCTAGCTAGAAAATCAGACAAGAGAAAGAAATAAGGGGCATCTAAATTGGAAGGAAAGAAGTCAAATTATCCTTGTTTGCAGATGATGTAATATTATACTTGGAAAAAACGAAAGACTACACACACACACACACACACAACACACACACACACACCTATTCAAACTGATAAACAAATTTAGTAAAGTTGCAGGATATAAAATCCACATACAAAAAACAGTAGCATTTCAAAATGCAACAGTGAACAATCTGAAAAATAAATTAAAAAAGGAATCCTATTTACAGTAGCCACAAATACCTAGGAACTAACTTAATGAAAGAAGTGAAAGATCTCTATGGTGAAAATTATAAAATGCTGATGAAAGAAATTGAAGAGGACATGAAAAGAAACCAGAAAGATACTCCATGTCCATGGATTGGAAGAATCAATATTATTAAAATGTCCATACTGCCCAGTGCAATTTACAGATTCAGTGCTATCCCTATCAAAATACCAATGACATTCTTCAGATACACACACATAAATTTTGTAAAATTTATATGGAACCACAAAAAATTCAAAATAGTCAAAGCTATTCTAAGCAAAAAGAACAAAACTGAGAAAATCACATTACCTGACTTCAAATTATACTACAGAGCTATAATAACCAAAACAGCATGGTATTGGCATAAAAACACACATATAGACCAATGGAACAGAATAGAGAACCCAGAAACAAATTCACACACCTACAGTAAATTCATTTTCAACAAACATGCCAAGAACATACACTGTGGAAAAGACAGTCTTCAAAAATGGTGGTGGGGAAAATGAATATCTACATGCAGAAGAATGAAATTAGACCACTATTTCAAGCCATATAGAAACATCACATAGAAATACATTAAATATTTAAATATAAGACCCTCAAATTATAAATTTACTACAAGAAAACACTGGGGAAAAATCTCCAAGACATGGGTCCGAACAAAAATTTATTGAGTAATACCCTACAAGCACAGGCAATCAAAACAAAAATAGACAAATGGGATCATATCAAGTTAAGAAGTTGCTGCACACCAAAGGAAACAACAAAGTGAAGAGGCAACACAAAGAATCAGAGAAAATATTTGCAAACTACCCATTGGACAAGGGGTTAATAGCCAGAATATACAAGGAGCTCAACTCTGTGGGAAAAAATCTGATAATCTGATTTAAAAATGGGCAAAAGATTTGAATAAATATTTCTCAAAAGAAGCCATGGAAATGGCAAATAGGCATATGAAAAAGTGCTCAACATTACTGATAATCAGAGAAATGCAAATCCAAACTACAATGAGATATCATCTCACCTCAGTTAAAATGGCTTTTAGTCAAAAGAAAGGCAATAATAACAAATGCTGGCAAGGATGTGGTAAAAAGGGAACCCCACTCTTGGTAGGAATGTAAATTACTAAAAGCACTATGGAGAACAGTTAGAGGTTCCTCAAAAACCTAAAAATAGAGCTACCACGTGATTCAGTAATCTCACTGCTGGGTATATACCCAAAAGAAAGGAAATCAGCATATCGAAGAGCTATCTGCAATCCCATGTTTGTTGCAGCACTGCTCACAATAGCCAAAATTTGGAAGCAACCTAAGTGTTCATCAACAGATGAATAAAACAAAGTGTGGTAATGATACACAATAAAGTACTATTCAGCCATCAAAAAGAATAAGATGTTGTCATCTGCAACAACATGAATAGAACTGGAGGTCATTATGCTAAGTTAAGCCAGGGACAGAAAGACAAAGCACATTTTCACTTATGTGTGAGATCTAAAAATCAGAACTATTGAACTCATGGAGATAGAGAATAGAAGGATGGTTACCAGATGTTGGGAAGGGTAGATGGAGGGTCGGGGGGTAAGTGGGGATGGTTAACGGGTACAAAACTCCCCAAAAGAATGAATTAAGTCCTAGTATTTGATAGCACAACAGGGTGACTATAGTTAATAGTAATTTTGTATATTTAAAAATAAGTAAAAATTGTTTATAACAAGATATCTTAGAAAAAAATCTAAAAGTATAATTGGATTGTTTGTAACACAAAAGATAAATGCTTGAGGTGATGAATACCCCATTTTACATGATGTGATTGTTACATGTTGCATGCCTGTATCAAAACATTTCATATATCCTACAAATATATACACATAAGTACCCACAAAAATTAAGATAAAAAATAAAAAAGACTATGACTAGTCTCATATCAGCTTTACCACTAAATGAGTCTGATTCAGCTTTTACCACTATTCGAGTTGTCAAATTTTCCAGTTTCCCAAGCTTTTTGATTTTAGAATTGCAGATAAGGGATTGTGGAACATACTACTAATTAATTTGTTAATTGTTTGTCTCTTCCACATAATGCATGTTCACAAGAACAAAGATTTGTTTTGTTATTGCTCTGTAGTCCAGTGCCTAACAGATAATAATGACTGAACAAATATTAGTTAAGTGGACAAATGAAGGCCTCTGTAAGGATTAGCTTTGTTAGTTTTACATTTTAAGTAAATCCTGTCCTACAGTCATCTCTCAATTGAAGCAATAGTTGAACTTTTAAAAATATTATTAAAATTATTTCTCCTTTTAAGGCTCATTGAAAGGCAGAAGGATAGAAAAAATGTGATAAACAGTATATAAACTACAGGAAACAACACCTGGTTTGTGTAATATAGTGGGAAGAGTTCTCAACTAGAGTTCTAGAGATCTAGGTTGATTTCATCCCTTTCCTTTTTCTATTAACTATTTGCCTATTTATTATTCACCTATCCATCCTCCATTCATCCACTTCTTCCTCTTTGACTTAAATATCTCACCATTTTGGCTCGATTCATTATCTGTCAAATGAGTGGATAAAACTTGGTGATCTTCAGCCGTTCTCTGATTCTGCTAACAGTAAATAATTGGATAATATTTGACTATCCTAGAAGTTGGCTCACACTAGCTTTTCAATTAAATTTAAGCATGTTTGTTTGTTTAAATGTTACTATAGCTTTGTAGAATAATGTGAAGTTACGTAATGTGATATCCCCAGTTTTGTTTTTTTTGCTTAGGATAGCAAAAAGTGTCACTTAGTGACACATTCGCCAAATATGTATTTTATGTAACACTTACACAATACTGAATTTTTGTGTGTTTCTGTATGCCTAATAATAGCAAATGTTTATTGAACATTTTCTATGCACCAGAAACTACTTTAAGCTTTTCACATACATTAACCTTACAACTCTCTATTAGTCATGTGCTGTATAATGTTGTTTTGGTCAACTATCGACTGCATATATCACAGTGCTCCCATAAGATTATAAAGAAGTCGAAAAATTCCTATTGCCTAGTATTTACTATATGTTTTAATTGTTATAGTAGAGTGTACTCCTTCTACTTATTAAAAAAAAAAGTTAACTGTAAAACAGCCTCAGGCAGGTCCTTCAGGAGGTATTCCAGAAGAAAGTAAGGTTATCACAGCAGATGACAGCTCCATGTGGGTTACTGCCCCTGAGATCCTTCCAGTGAGACAAGATATGGAGGTACAGGAAAGTGATATTGATGATCCCAACTCTGGGTAAGCCTAGCCTAATGTGTGTGCTTGTGTGTTAGTTTTTAACAAAAAAGTTAAAAAGAAAATAAAAATTAATAGAAACAAGCTTATAGGATAAGGATAGAGAATATTTTTGCACAGTTGTACAACATGATTGTGCTTTGTGTTTTAAGCCAAGTGTTATTATAAAAGCATCAAGAAGTTACACAATTTAAAGTTTATAAAGTAAAAGTTACAATAAACTAAGGTTAATTTATTATTGTAGAAAAAAACTTTAAAAATAAGTTTAGTGTAGCCTAAGTCTACATTGTTTGTAATATCTACAGTAGTATACAGTAATGTCCTAGGCCTTTGCATTCACTCACTACTCACTCACTGACTCACCCAGAGCAACTTCCAGTCCCGCACGCTCCATTCGTGGTAAATCCTCTATACAGATGTACCAGTTTTTATCTTTTATATCTTACTTTTATTGTACCTTTTTTGTTTAGATAGACAAATACCATTATGCTGTAATTCTCTACAGTATTCAGTACAGTAATATGCTGTACAGGTTTGTAACCTAGGAGCAATAGGCTATACCCTAGAGGGTAAATATCTAGTAGGCTATACCATCTAGATTTGTGTAGGTACACTCTATGCTGTTCACACAATGAGGAAATTGCCTAACAATACAGAAAGTATTCCTGTCATTAAGCGATGCGTGACTGTATTATCTCCTGTGGTACAGTAGATTGCCATCTGTTTCACTATCATACGTCCACAGAAAGTGTGCACCTCTCTGTGCTTTGACTTTGGGCTTGGCTATGTAACTTCTCTTAGCTAACTGAATAATAGCAGACATTACCTAAGTAGAACTTTGAAATATGCTTATGCAGAGTAGCCTGTTCCCTTGCAATCCTGCTCTTCATACTGACACACAAAAAAAAAAGAAAAAAAAATGCCTCAGGTATCTGTTGATCCAAGGAAGATGAGAGATATGTGACACAAATCTAGACTTACCCTCTACCAAGAACCAAGTCCAGGTGAGCCCAGCCTGGATGAGACCTATCCAGCTTACACACAAACTTCTGTGGAAGAACTAAATGCTTACTGTGGTACACCAGAGAGATTTTCTGGTTGTTTGTATTGTGGCAACCTCCTTCTGTTTTTTTCAGGTAATGAAAATGAGGGGCAGAGATTGAGAAACTTGCACAAACTCTGCACAGCTAGTTAAGTGTTAGGGCTAGGATATTAAGCCATGCAAGTCTGGTCAAGGGCTTATACTCTTAAGTCCCATGCTGTATCGTCACTACACTATACTGGCTATATTGTATGATATTAAATTATGTATTAATATGCTAGTGAGTGATCTGGCACATATTAAAATTCATAATTTTGTCTATATTGTCTATATGTAAATGGACAAAGCTGTCTTGCAATTTGGAGTAAAATGTATTTTATCTTGAGACATCAATAATATAAAATAAATGCACTGCTTTCCGGAGTCAGATTAATAAGAACTACATTATAGACAGCTCTTGGGGTAGTTTCCCAGCTCATTCCCATACCAAATAATGGCCCTTACTGCTAACAGATCTACTGCAGATTCTTCTCTGGCTCTGGCTGACCAATTGAGGCATGCATCTGTGATCTAAGCTTGATCAGCCCAGGTTTCGCCTCTAATATTTTCAAATTTGGACCCATAACTGGGCACCTCTATCATTGGCTCCACACTGGAGAAAGCTACTGTCCCCAGAGCTATCTTTGTTCCCTTCCTTCCCACCTGTCAATTGCATAAGAAACTCCAGCATTTCCCCAGAAAATACCCTTTTTGTATAAGCTTGCCAAAATTTGTTTTTCTTCTTGTAATCTTAAGAAATTTAACCAAAACAAGTTTAAAAAATTCATTGCTTTTTTCTGTTATAATTTAAAAGTGCAGAGGGAGGATTTCTTAAAGACAAGACCAAATAAAGCTTGCATTTATTTTATATCCTATCAAAGTAGTTTTGCAATTTATAGTTACGGACAATGTGTTCCCTGATATTTGTTAAAAATTCTTCCATATTTTCAAAAACCAAGGTCTGGCTGGGCACGGTGGATTATGCCTGAAATTCTGGCACTTTGGGAGGCTAAGGTGGGAAAATCACTTGAAGCCAGGAGTTTGAGATCAGCGACATAGCAAGACTTTGTTTCTACAAAAATATAATTAAAAAAATTTAGCCAGGCATGATGCTGCACACCTGCATTCCTAGCTATTTGGGAGGCTGAGGTGGAAGGATCACTTGAGACCTGGAGTTCCAGGCTGCATTGAGATATAACAGTGCCAGGGTGACAGACTAAGACCTCGTCTCAAAAAAAAAAAAAAAAAAAACCCCGCCCACAACCCGCCCACTCAAAAACAAACAAACAAACAAAAAAAAAACAAAAAACAAACAAACAAAAAAACAGGGTCCATGGGCCCGCAAGGAGTCTGTGGATAAACTATATATCAGTGAAACTGAATAAAGTAGATATCCTTTGTAATCTTATGTATTTTATGCATTAAAACATTTTACTTCTATTGAGCTTTGTTTACTCCTTTTGATAATGCAAGGCAAGTGAACATATGGGATTATTTATGTCACTGATTTACTCAGAAGTGCTCAAATATATTCCAGACACTATTTTGGGTGCTGGCGATATAGCAGGGACAAAACAGACAGTCTTTGCCCTCACAGAGTAGTGGTAAGAAAGAATATGCAGAATATAAAATTTCACAATACTGTTAGTAATGAACCTGGCACAAGTACCACAATGAGATTAGAGCAGTTTAAAATGTGAGGGTAAGAAACACAAAATGCTTGGAGGAAATTAATGTGCAATCCTTAACCTATATCTAGTTTTAAGTGATATATTAACATATGAAGGGAGCCCTGCCATAGTCAAGTTTAAGAACAGTAATAAAGTACAACTACTAACTACCACAGTGACAATAAAGATAAATAGCAATGCTAAGGTTACCTTACCAGTAATTTCATATGTGCTATTATAACTTCTTAATATTCTGTCAGGATGGGCAGGTGAGAAAATGGAGCCTTAGAGGCTCACCAAACTTGACCATTTTGATTAGCGGTAGAACCAGGAATATAGCCTAGTTTTCACATCTCCTGGTTTTATTTTCTTTATACTACATTACATCATCACAAGCAAAGACAAGTTTCACAGCAGACAGCGTTGAAATTTCTTTTTATTTACTTCCATAATCTACTTGTGACATGGGGCAGAGAAGCAACATAACATGGGTCATATAGGAGCTACTGGTAACAACTTGAACACTTTTCGTTATCAGGCATAAGCTCACATTAGCAAGAACTTCGGGGTGGTATGATAGATGTGATACTGGGGAAATTTATGAATGAATTACAAAAGTAGATTTTTCCAACTAATGAATTTAACCATTTAGTGCAGAAGTTGGCAAACTTCAGCCCATGGAATAAGTCCAATCTGCTACCTGTTTTGATATTGCCTGTGAGAGTGGTTTTACATTTTTAAATGGTTCAAAAAATGTTAAAAGAGGAAAGATATTTGACAGCAAAAAGTTACATAAAATTCAAGTTTCGGTGTCTATAAATACAGTTGAAACACCGCCATCCTTATTTATGTATTGCCTATGGCTGCTTTCACACTACAAAAGCCAAGTTGAGTAGCTCCACAAAGACCTGGCTCTCAAGTCCTAAAATATTACCATCTGGCCATTTGCAGAAAAAATTTGTTGGCCTCTCATCCAGAAGGTCACAGAGTTAATGTTAAAGGCAGTAATAACATCTGTTTAACTTATACTTTTAAAAATGAGTAAATGCGTAGTTATTTAAATATTTCTTTCCTTTAAAATGGAGTGATTTGAAAGCACTGGAGTCATACGAATGAATATCCTAGAGGCCTAAGAATCATGCTTGCATCTTAGCCACTCAGTCAGTTGATCACTTGGATGACCTCTAGACACCATGGTATTTTTAATTAATACACAGGTTTAAATTATTTAACTCTCAGTCTGACATTTTATAATTTACTGACTCATAGATTGCTGGCTAAAGACAGAATAAAAAAACACTTGGTGACATATAATTAACGAGAAGCAAAAACATTCTTTGATGTCTATAAATTTGCCTCAAGATGATCATCACCACATCAAAAAGTTGTATTTATGTAGTTAAAAGAGGTAAGTCTCAAATACGTTAAAAGTCCATGTTAAAAGAAATTTGGTGATGGTCAAATCTTAAATTTTCTTGTTTAGAAATTAAAATCAGTTGATTTAGAAAGCATAAAATATAAAAAACTCT